AAGGGGGCCAAACAGTAAATTTGAAATGAGCTCATATTATTTTATTTTTATTTATTTTATTTTTGTATTTATTTTTTTATTGTGCAAGCTGTAAATGAGCGACAAATTCTTTCACGTTGAATCAAGAGTTGAGGGCCAAAACGTGTCGTCTATTGGCAGATGAATCATACAAATGCCAAGTGAGTACAATCTGCCTCTCTCCCTCTCTCTCACACATACACAAACAGAGTAAGCTTTTAGCAATGCATCCTGCCTTCAATCAACGTATGCGTCATTTCCTACTTCAGTTGATTGCTATTTGATTTAACTTTATTATGCTTTTGCCTAATCTGTGACTGTGATTTTTTTATTCTCGCACAGCAAAGAGTGAGAGTAAGCGATAGCGACAGAGTGAGAGAGTAAATCTAGCTAGGGCTTTCAAGTTCACCGCCAGAAACGGAAATGAAAATGATTCAGCGAAAATGCATAGTTATATGGCTTTACACACAATAGTTCAACAGTTGAAGTTCAGCTTAAGTTATCGATAGCGCTGCATGGCCCATAACTGTCCAGTTGGGGCTATGGCTAGTTATATTATGTTATGCACACGTTTACATAATCTCCGGAGCTATGGGGTTAACCCACGCGCAACATTTGCTCATTGTTTTGTTTATGTTTAATATCCATTAACTGCATTTAATGAGTTCAAGCTAAAAGCAGCAGGGCAAAAATCACGTTTTCGTTTACGTTTACGTTCAGTGCTTGACCACCGGAACCGCAAGAGAAAAGCACACACATACACACACATACACCCAGACGCATACAGAAATCCGAGCTTACTATACACAGGCAAATGAGCACGCAGCTAATGAGATTTTGAGCGCTGAGCGGCGCACGCAAAGAGAGCGACAAGAGAGCAAGGCAAGGCAAGGCAAGGCAAGACAAAGCGACGCTACGCGGCGAATCCCTCGCATTGCGTATGCGCAACGAGTGGAAGCCAAATAACTACATAAAAGCGAAATGACAACAACAACAGCAGAGGCAGAGGCAGCAGAAGAAGTAGCCGCAGTCGCAGCGTGTGCCGTCATATTTTTTTTTGCCATTCGCTTTTACTTTTCATTTACATTTGGTGTCGTAAAACAAGCATGAAAATAATAATAATAAATAATCATCAAATAAATAGACAAAACAATTTCTGCGCCAAACTTTTAATTTCAACAATTATGCGTCTTTTCATGCCGCGTTGATTTAGCGCAAATCCCAATCGCACGCTCTTTCTTCATCTTTCATTGTGTGTGTGCGAGAGTGTATGTATACGTGTGTATATGTGTTTTTTCTTTTTGTGTGGTCAATAATTAAAATGGGGCAATCAAGCGTACCAATGAATCGCTGACCAAGTAAACTGTTTATTTTCGCATACCCTGTAATCAATGAGCAACTTAAGGGGCATGCGGGGTAAGAGTGGCTGATAATGGCATAGCTAATAGCAATTGATTAAATGTATATTACTATATATATTTTCTTTGATTCAGTTAACTTGGGTAGATTTGTTTGTATTACAGGGCATTGCCTAGTCGCATACTCCAGCTTAAGCACTTCTCGTTTTGTTTTGTGAATGAGTAGAGGTAAAACATAGGGCAAACAGTCAAACAAGCAACTTAGCAACAAATGTTAATTACAGGTTAAAAACTATATTTTTAGAGCAGCTGTTAATTATACCTGTGTGTGTTTCGATACAAATTTTTATTTCTTCTAATTTGGCTTTTTAATGTGTAGATATATATACATACATACATATATACATATGTACACAACATTGGAATAAGATAGACGCATTAAGTATACAAATGTGACAATTTAATGAAGCAAATTAAGGCTTAAATGTTCTTGATAGCAAACAAATGGTACGCGCGCACGTAAAGAAAATAACAGCAGCCAAAGCCGAAACAACAAAAGGCAACTGTCAAAAGTTCGCTTTATACAAATGACAGCGAGTGCGAGCGAGAGAGGGAGAGCAAGATATATAGACAAGACGACGGCAGCAGCAGCAGCAACATCAGCATGGTGGGTGTAGAGCAATGGCGGTGGGTTAGAGATGGGAGAAAATAAAAACATCAACGCGACCATAATTAACAGCGACACGCAAATACAAACACACATACTACAACACTCCCACACATACACCTCAACACTTATGCATATCTATGAAGCTCAGTTCGTTCGGCATATTTTGAATAATTTCTTTTGACATTGCGCCTCACTTGGCGCATGATTATTTTAATTGCCAACATATAGCAGCAATTAGTGATACATGTACACATATATACATACGCACATATATACACAATCATACACTCAATGTTATTATTCAAAATTTAAGTATCAAATAAATGAAAGCGAATTGGCAATAAAGCGCTTAAGAACTTCATAAATATTTGCTACGCCAAAAAGCTCGCTCTCTCGCACGCTACGCTGAAAACAAAAAGCTCTCTCCCATAGCTCACTTGAGCACCGTTAGTTAGTCACTAAGCTGGATCTTCGCTTGGCTTTGCTAATTGTTTTGGTCAATTTGGCATGCAAAACACACAAACAAAGCCAACATTGTAATTGACAGTAGTTTTTTTGTTGACAATTTTATTTACTGTATTATTATTATTTTTTTTTTTTTGGCTATTTGCAGCTTAATCAATGGAAAGTTTTGATGCGAAACCAGGTGACCGGCTAATTTGAGTCAATAATTACGTATATGTGTGTGAGAGTGTCCGTGTGTATCGTACTGTTCCAGTTCATGATAATCTCAATTGGGTCATATTACGTAACGGAGACGTGCCGGTTATCAGTGTTGGCAACGTAATGTCATACTACGTGCATTCAAAAACTTAACTGATACACACACACACACATACACACACGTATTTAAGCCGCTTTGTTTGGCCTGCTATATTGGCGTGCCCGCAATAGGCAATCAAATTAATGCTCACGTTTTTTGTTTTTAGTTTTATTTTCATTTTTTTAATTTTTTTTTTGTTTAGTTTAAGAGAACGATTTGCCTTTTGTTGAGCATGGCATATAGAAAAGCCGATGTAATAAAATAAAATTGGCATTGCACTGAGCTTGCCCAGTATTATTATTATTAATAATTATTTCGATTGCTGTCAACGGCACTTCCGTTGGCAACTATTCTCCCATATTTATACAATGAAATCATGTGCATATCTTATCTAATATATACACACTCACACATGTAAGTCTACACACACATATACACATATTTGTGTAGCAATTGCTCCAAAAATAATTTATATCAACATTTTTCTATGCGGTCCGCGCCCGAAAAAAAAACTAGCTAGCAAAACAAAGAGTTCCGAAAAGGAAACAGAAATGTTCTAGGCGGGAGTATTCGGCTAGAGGATGAACTAAACTATGCAGAATGGAACGATACATCGATAAAACTAAATTATATATGTTGATCAAGAAAATTAACTCTATAAATTTCAACTTTAATATAATTCTAATTATATATTTCAATCTCTCTGCATATTACCTTCTATATGCTACACGAAACGAATATACCTTGTCAACTATTTTATGGGGTATAAAAACAATTAGAAATTGGCAAATAGACAAATAATGAATGACAAAAAACAGACAAACAACGACAGACAATTGGGTCGCTTGTTCTTCCCCCTTCAATTTTGCGCTATCGATAAACAAAGCCAAGCACGCACGCACGCACTCACGCACCCGCACCCACACCAATTTTGCCTCACCTCAGCACCCCACAATTTTATTGTCTCTGTCGCACATACCCCACAACAACATTGCGTATGCTGAATTCGTCTGCTCTGTTGACGAATCAGCACATGCAAAGGGAGTGTAAAGCGCAGCAGCTATTGGCTAACTGTAGCAAGCCACGCATGAGCATAAGCGTAAGCATACGTATGCAGCGCTGCTCGCACATCCTTAAGAGACCCAGAAGACAATGTGAGTGTGTTGAGCAAAATTCCCTTTCGTTTTTCTGTCTGCCCGCCCATTAGCTCATGCTAGGCTCACACTGTCCCACTCACTTCGCTCTACTTTAATTCGCTTTAATTCCAGCTCTATGGGTTTGCAAATTGAGCATAAGCACCGCTGCGCTTACATCCTTAAGAGAGCCAGAAGACAATGTGAGTGCGTTGGGCATAATTTCCCTTTCGTTTTTCTGTCTGTCCGCCCTTTGGCTCATGGGCTAGGCTCACTCTCTCCCGCTCACTTTGCTGTAGAGTAATTCGCTTTAACTCCAGCTTTATGGGTTTGTAAATTTATGCACATTTTTATGTCATAATTTTTTGCAGGCATAAAAGCTTTTTTGATTATAAAACGACGATATTTGCATGCAAAACTGTGCGCCGGTTAATTTTATGATGCAACACAAGCACACACATGCACATTCATTCATTAAGCTTCAGAGCAACAGGGATACAGATAATAAAGACAAAGAGACAAACAAAAAACTCGCCACATCTGCCATTTGCTGTTATTATTTTTATTATTTGCAACTTATTTTATGATAGCCGCAACCGCAACTCGTTAGTTAATTTCATTTTACCTACAATACAAACGCAAATATTAATCGCCAAGACAACAAACCCAAATATAGCACAATAAAAATGAGAGAAAAAACCCCACAAACAATAGAAACACACACACAGACACCATAAAAAAGTAAGTATATGTATAATATGCGTGACATTGAGTTTTGAGGTTATGCATATGATATGCAGCCGCAGTCGCCGCCGCAGTCGCCACCGCAGTCGCTAAGCACTTGAACTGTAGAGTTGCCTTAAGTCTCCATTTGGTATGATATATGTATATATTTGTATTCGTGTGTGTGTTTGTGGTGCTTGTTTAAACGTTAGTTAATTGAATAGGGAATTTCTTGCGCTTTTTCAGGGATTTATGCTCTTCACTTGATTTATGAAGTCCCAAAATAGCAAAGAGCAAATATCGAGAGCATGAACTTAATAAAAATATGCATTGAAACGTAGCGTCAGCAGCGACGTCAGCAGCGAGATCGTGCGCGTCACAGCTGTCATTAAAACAACATTAAAACTAAAGCAAACAGTGGCCCAACAAATTAAACTCACACATATAAAAAACAACGAAAATGACAAAACAAAGTAAATAACACTCTCCAATGGATCCCAATTCGATACAAAATAAATATTAACAAAAGGCAAGGCCAAGCACAAACACATTCGCGATCGCACGGAAGCTAAGTGTTGGAAAACGCTGACGTCTTTGGAGAGTTCTGCACCGAGCGTTGAGTTCAAGCTAAAAAGTCAAAGGAATTCTTAGACCAAAGGAAATGTTGTCTATTAGCAAAACTTTCATTAAAACTTTTCCAATTTCTAAGCAAAATAACAGTAAAACTAAAAAGCTCCTCGAATTCTATGCTAATTGTGACTAATTGGCGAGCTCTGCCAGCTCCGCTATTTGGGTACAGTTGTCAACACGTTGCCAGTTAATCAATCAATCAGTCAATCAATCAATCAATCCCCTTGGCCATGTACCACGCTAAGTAGGCCAAATGATAGCGAAAAAGCAATCGAACAAGAGAAAATCGAATTGGTAAGAGCTGCGAACACTTTATATGGCAAATAAATTAAAAATATTCTCGAACAAGTGAAGAGGCGAGCTGAACAACTGCCAGATACCACGCACAATAGGAAATAGCCGAGAATTGCCGAAATTGCAGTTGAAATCTTGTTGCTTCTGTCGATCGAGTTATACCCTCGTTTGTCATTCAATATGTAAAGGGTATACCGAAAGAGGCGCATGCTGAATCACAGACTAACCTTTTTTTTCGGGCAAGTGCCGCATGTGGGTGTGTGTGAATGGGGGTTTATACAAAAATACATACAATATAGTATATTGCCAGATATTTATCGGCATGTCTAACTGAGTAACCTGGCTATAAACGCGCATTGCCGTCATTGGATTCTGTTGTTAACTGATTCATCATGAAGCGCGTCAAGCTCCGTTCAAATTAAATTGTTTGCTACTGACGACGATATTTACCTTGACGCATGCAACGCCAACAAGCAAGCAAACGGAATCTAATGAAAACTGAAAACAACAAAACGAAAATATAGCAGAAAAAATCACAATTGTACAATTAGTCATTTCATCAATTAATAATTAACTATTTTTAAACGTGCGCGCGGCGCTGCTCCATTGGCTGATGAGCTCAGTTTGAAGCAATTTCCAAAGCAAGATAGAGCGAGATGGAACGAGATAGCGCGCGACACACAGCTCACATTTTATTTAAAGTTATTAACAAGCATGTTTCAAGATTTATCGTATTTCTTACACCTTGAACTTTGACGCAACAGACTTTAAAAAAACAAAATATTTTTTTCTTAAATGAAAAAAAATTGCAGTGCAAAGCTCGACAAAGCAGCGAGCGCAGCTTGACAGCTTCTTGCTATGTGTGTGTGTGTCTGTGTGAGCGTGTGTGCTATATCAACAAGCATTTGCATGCAATAGGCTCAGCTGCACCTGTTACAACAACAACAACAGCAGCACAGCCGAAAGCTGTGCACATTTTTCGACAATGGCAGCTAATTTAAGAGAGCCCAGCGCCCCAGGCGAATTGTCCAATTCGCCTCGTCTATTTGCATTTGACATTTTCCAATGCTGAGAGAGAGAACGTACAATACTTAAGAGTTAGAGCGTCAAACCTACTCTTAAGAATTCAGCACCGCATGACCTTCAGAGAGAAATTTTTTGTCTGTTTTTGTTTTGATTTTACAGTTTCTTTTTACTCTTTCTTAGGCACATTCACTGGGATGCTTGAAAAAAGAAGAAGAGGAAAAACATACAAACAAAAAATTAACATAGCTCAGCTGAAGAAAGCTGCAATAAGGCAAAAGAAAGCTGCGGAATTTTAGCAATGCGGCCAACACGATGGCCAATGGCCTCCCCAAGCGCCAACACAAGGCCTTAACAGCCAGACCAGTCTAACTCTACAGAGAGGGAGAGGGAGAAAAAGAAAGACAGAAGCGAGAGCAAAAGAGAGAAACAAGTGAAGATCGTTCATTGCCGTAAGAAAAAATCAACAAAAAATGTTGAAATAAAAACATAAATGTATATAAATATATAATATATATGTATGCATTTTCATATATATATGTCTGTCTATATTGGTTATGTCTTAACTACATTAAAAGCTCGTATTATAAATAAAACGAGGCAATTTAAATGCATTCGAGCACGCGCACACCTCACATGCCAGAGTCTGGCCATAGTCTATCCATGATGGGGTATTACCATTACCATTACCATCCATAGCTTTCGACATGCAATCTCTTGGCATTTTCACAATATACTATTATGTGATCTCTGTTCGATTCTCTGCACAACAAATAGACAGCTTAATTTGTTCAATTATAATTTCAGTTCGGTTTAATTAAAGTTAAATTCGAGTTTGTATAATGTTTAATTTGTTTGAGAAATGATCTTAACTTTTCGAATAGCTTAAGTTAATTGAGAAAGGGAAATAGATAGAGAGAGAGAGAGAGAGAGAGAGAGAGACTGGGAGATGGAGACCTCTAATATCATACTTTCCCACGTTAGCGTGGTGCACGTGGTTGCACTCACAAGCTTGAAAGATAAGTGGGATAACATTTTGGCATTTCATGAGACTTATTTTCAAAATATCCAGGCAGAGATTCTATATATACTATATATGTATGTCTGTCTACGAATCTGATATCCTTATGAATCCTAAATCTTTGACTCTCTCTCTCTCTCTCACTTTAACTTTAGCAGGATTAGCAGAATTCAGTAAAATTTTTGCATTTCTTTTTATTTTTGGCAATATATATAGCTGGATGATAAAATTTTCCAGCCAGAGACATTTGTTCCAAATGGTATACTCTAAATATCCATGGAGTCAACTCTAGTTTGCTTCTCGTTTATCAACTTTCATAGTGTTCACTATTGCAGCAACATTTTTGCGTTTTACAACACCTTTAAGCTGACAGATATGGAAGACTTTTGCCAATAGATACGTATATACATATATCTATATATATATATATATATATATATACATATATAGGTGACTGTGGAGCTGGCTGAAGTAGGCATGATTGCATTTTTATTTACAGTTAGTCGCTTGGCCAAACGAGTCGCTGAATAAAAAGCATCGTAGCTGTTGCCTCTGCCTCTGCCGCTGCCTCTGTCACTGCCTTGTCGCTGGACGCTTCTGTCGCGCTGTCGCTGACTCTGCGTCTGCCTCTGCCTCTGCCTCGGTCTCTGCTGCTGCTACTTGACTGTCTGGCTGTCTATCAACTTGTTTATGAGGCACTGTCTCTGTTTCTGTGTCTCCTCCGTTGTAAGCTTGACTGCTGCAAGCAGCAGTGGCATTTGCTGTGGCACTTAGCCATTGCCATTACTGGTTGTTGTTGTTGTTGCTGCTGTTTGTTGCTGGTCAGATTTACTTGTTGTTGTTGCTGCTGCTGCTTGACTAGCGCTTTTAGAAAGTATGTCAATTTAGAAAAGCCGTTGACTGGACAACGCACACACACACACACACACACACACATGCAGGCCTGCATGTTCACATATGAGACTTGGGCACATACAACATTGCACATCTCTATATACATATATATATTTATATATATATAAGCCAATATATTTGTAATACCAACCCAAGCAATTTGTTGTTGTTCTTCTTGTTGTTCTGTTTCTTGTAGTTCTTTTAATTGTTGTTGGCTTCATACAAATTGCACTTGAACACAACACACGAAAAAAAACGACATTTATTCAAATTGCAATTTCCATGGAAATAAAACCCAGGCGAATTCGAAACGTCACAAAAAAAACTTTGCGTCTAATTGAAACGAGCGCGCCGTCGCGACTGTCTAACTAAAAGCTTGCTGCTGCGGCTGTTACTTCGGCGTCGTCGACGCTGATGACTCCCAAAAGAGAGTGGGAGAGTCACAGAGAGAGGGAGAGAGTGACAGAGTGAACGCGCGTGAGTGCGGGCGGGGTAAAGCTGCTGCTGCTGCTGACTAGCTGCGATGCTGCTGCTTCTTCTTTGACTAACTCGAAACTCTGCTCAGCTAATAAGCGTTGCGTGCGGTGCTTTGTACAGACGCGTTAGCAAGTTTGCTGCTGACTAAATGGCAAATTTTATAATAGAGCACGTTGTGCGCTGAAACGACGCCAAAGCTTAGCAGCAGCAGCAGCAGCAACAGCAACGCCAGCTTACGCGCAGTCACAAACAGATAGAGAGTGAATGAGTGCGAGAGAGCGGAAGAGCAAAGCGAAGCAAGAGAGCAAGGAAAGACAGTTAACAGCAATCAAATAGCATTGTTGTTGCTGTTTCAAGATAGCACAGGAAATAATATCACACACACACACTCATGTAAAGTAAGAGAGAGAGTGAGAGAGAGGAATATGCGGCATTTTGTGCGATATGAGCGCCAAAACATATCAATAAAAGTGAGCAACGTGAAGGGGGAAGCTTGGAAGCTTACGATTAACACCGGTGACGGCGGCAGCTGCAATCAATTGAAAGTTCGCTCAATGTCCCATAGATGGAGCTACAGCTGCAGGTGCAAGGTTGTGCGGCGAGCCAACCAATAATAAAACCAAAGTCTACACCAATACACACACACTATGAGAAGTAGATAGAGGCAGTCGCGATCACAACCAAAATTAGAACATTACGTATATATATAACCACTTTGAAAATAGTTTATCAATTTTGTTGTTCCTCTGCTTTGCTTTGATAAAAAAAATATAAAAAAGCAAATAATGATGAAGTAATGATTGAACTGGAAGGTTGACGAAACGTGAGAAATATTTATAAATGCGCCCATAAAACTATATGTGTATATTGCAAGTGAATTTATACTCCACGGGGTTTTTCTTCCTCTATATGTATGCTCTACTCAAAAATCACATGATTACCACATGATATATGCCTTAACATATCTAAATAGACCAAATTCAGTTATTAATCAGTACTCTTACTTTATGTGTAAATAAAATAAGGTATTTTGATATACAGAAATAGTTAACAACATATGATGGACGCCCTTTCGAGGTTAAGTTCAGTGGAATCTACAATTGCAATTCAAAATCACTCACAAAAGCAGAAGTAAAGGAGAATGAACAATCGCTGTAGTGTTGTTGTTGCTACTGTGTCTGCCTTGAATTACACTCTCCACATTCATCTCTCCACTTCACTTCACTCCTTACGCATTACCCTCGCTTGCACTCTCATTGTAAGGTCAACGCAGCTTGACTCTCGACTGTCTGTCAGTCAGCGTCGCAGTCAGCATCGGTTCACTTTCAAAAGCATTTCGAGCAAAAGTAAAAGCTCTCCCACGCAGTTTTTAATGGTGGCATTGTTGGAAAGAGAAAGAGCAAAAGCAGGAGCAAGACCAAGAGATCGCATATCGTAAATGTTAACGTCGCCGTTGACGCCAACGTTTTAAGTGTGCTGCACGCAATGCTTAAAGACATTTTTGTCCAATGTTCCCAGATAAGATAACGAGAGCGCCAGGCATTGCTCTATGTGAGGGGTTTGGCGATGGGACAGGCGAGGACAGTGGAGGGGAGGTGAAGAACTGGTTAAAGTTGTATGTGGATCGGTTTTGGGGCGGCGTCGGAGGTCGACCGGCGATTGACCCACTAAACAACGTTGATGACGCAGCGGGTCTCTCAGAGAGCTTTTGCTTTGACGTTGATTAATTTCTCACACTTCACTAAGTGGGTTAAGGGCAGTTCTGATTGGGCAGAGCCGCTGCTGCTGCTGCAAGTGATAGCACAGCACTTTTAAGGCGTTGCCACCCACCCAGTCATACAACAATACACAAACTCTCACACACACACACATGCTTAACTTTCAGTTCCAGAAGTACACAAATATTTGTACTTACATGCAAATAATACACAAATTATAAAACGATAAAAAGCGCGCGCCAAAGCTTTCGCTCGCAGCTGCGCTCGCGCTTTTGCACTCGTACTTGCACACGTGCAAACAAAAAAAAAAAAAAAAAATAAACACTCACAACTGTTGTATTTTTCGACAATTTTTTTTGCTGCTGCGCTGTCCGCTGACTTTACGTACCGAGAGTCAAATGCGAAATGAGCCGACGTCGCAGCGCAGCGAATGCGAACATACAACGCTTTTTATCTGTGTGCAACGGATGGGGAGGGGGATAAGGGGTGGAAGGGGAGGCTTTCGATTCTCGAGAGATGCTCCACGAAATTGTAATGGCCGGCCAGCAGCCCAAAAAGCAAGTCACGCGGCCGACTTGAAGCTTCACACACACACACAGGCAGACTCACATATATGCACAGCGAAGTGGAGAGCGAGAGATCGCAGAGCGTAACAAGTGTCAGTGGAGCTGCTGTCAGGTGGCAACACTGGCGCATTGAAATTTAAAAGCAGGCGCCCACTTTTAACGTTTTTCGTTTCGTATTAGTTTTGTTTTGTTACGTAATGCAGCCACCGTCTACGCCGCCGCTGCCACTACCACCACCGGCTTTGCTTTGGTGCTGTACTCTACGCGCCGCTGCGCCCGCTTAACTAGTCAAGCATATCAACAACCCGTTTTGGTTAATTTACATAAAATACGATATAACAACAATAGCAAGTCGCTGCACACTTGTTGAGCAGCCCCTCCCCCTCTCCCTTTACCTAACAATAAAATAAAAAAAATGAAAATCTATCCTAACGCTGCGCAGTCGACGCATGAGCAAACAAACTGAGTGAGAGTGCCGAAACAGCGACGGCTGCGCAGCCGACTGTTGCGCTTCATGGCTAGCGCACGTGAAAGTACCAAAAAAGACGAAGAGAGAACGACAGGCCGAGAGAGGATTTTGTTTTAAAGTTCGAAACCAAGTTCGAATTTTTTGGGTGACTGTAACGTCAGCGTCGACGCTGTCGCATCGCTGTCTGCACTCAAAATGCAAATTGTAAATTCTGTTTTATTTCCATTACCTAAAAATATTCGCCTCGAAAATAAATTCAACAGGCGGCATAGTCGATGACGTCAGCGCGTCTTCTGCTGCTTCGTGTTTGTTGCTGCGCTGTGCAAAATTTCAGCGAATTCAATGCCAAACACACACACACACATA